TGCTGTAAACACTCAGGTCATATTGCTCAACTTAAAGACACCAAGATAAAATCTTAGATTTCATAAACTGTCCTCAAATGATTAGTTAATGAGGTCTTAACTGCTGTTACCCTGCATGGTGAGTTCTGCCATCTCAATATATTGCACTAAAGAAAATTCAAGCAACTTAAATGAAGGGATAACTTGAAAATATTATCAGTTATTGCAGAGTAAATCTTGCATGGATGCTCCCATTCAAAAATTACAGGACTTCAGTTTAATTGAGTTGATCTGAACTACTATATAGATGACCCCTGAGGGTGAGGAATCTCAAAGAAGTGATTGGTACTTAGAATAAGGATGTTTTTAATTCTATTTGCAATGTGATCTCCTTATGTATTCCATAATCAGCCTTCCTTACTACTGAGAGACAGTTATGTTCTTGTCTTTCTGTATCTGGAAAGGGGACACAGTGACATCAAGGGCATAAGGGCAGTCTGAATACACACTCTTGGCCAAAAGAATTCAAATTCAGGTGCATGAGGACCCTTGAATATTGAGACTGTAACTGATAAATGTTTTGAAGAATCTGATATCATGAGGTAAGTGGCTGTTCTTTATTAAAAGAATCCATGGTTCCAACAACAGTTCCTTATTGCTGTCAGTTTTTAAGTGGATGTTTACTCTTATATTTCTATAATTTACAAATTTCCTGTTTTATTTCTGCTTTGAAATACATTACAAATCAAAGGAATGGTCACAATGCCATCAAGTGCATATAGTAAACCAGGTTCCTGTTATTTGAAAGTACAGAAAATGCATTTTTCAGTAAAACTTTTTTTTTCTGGTAAAACTTGGTCAATAAAACATCAGTGCATTGGCAGTGATTTATGAAAGTTGATAATCACACTTAGTCCTGTATTTTGTGTAATTGCAGTTATTTTTAATGGCTATGTCTTACTGAAACAATGGTTCTTAAGTGCTTTTTGATCCCTTTAGCTTTTAGTATATCCATTCTCTTGTTCTAATTAAGTTTCATTGATGGCCATTTTTCTGTCTTTTTAATATTTTTTCGTTAATTTCTAGCCTTGAAATAAATGTTCTTTTAAAGAGCTATTCAGCCCTGAATTTTCTAGTTACACAGGACCATCATATGTATGTACATACACACACATACATATATATACAGGAACTCAATCACTCATTTTCTTAAAATGATTCATAGTTATGTCATTTTCAGTCCACACAATAATTCCTTGAGAGACATCCAGAGGATGATGGACACTATCTTGTTAATAGACATTGCTCTTCTCCAAATGCAGGTATTCCTTAGGCCGAGTAAAAATAATGGGCAAATACTGAAATATTAACAGAGTAAGTACACCAGTTTTCACTTCACTTGCTTTGGTAGATAAATTCTTGGCTTACAACTTAATTGTCCTAAAGTCCACCTCATTTCCTGTCAGAGTTTACTTGTATTGCAGAGCTGGCAGAAAGGAAGGACCGCTTATACCTGAGGCACTGAGTGCAAATCCTCCTGCATGTGGGCACAGATTTGATGTGCAATCTCTAGTGATAATCCTGGATTAACCAGTCTCTTATTACTTGCTCCCTCTGGGTCATGCCAAACTGTGTTGCCACATTATGAACCTTATCAAGGAATTAATCTGATTGGCATTCTCCTGTGTGTTATTTTTCATAATAGTTCATCATGGAGCCCCAAGAACAGCTGGGCTGGTACAGTTTGTAGTGGGAGTGTGGGATGATTTAGCAAGAATGGAACTCCTTAAGAAATGTCCCATGACTGCCTAAAGCTCAAGTGACCCACAAATCTAACATTATTCATCAAGTGATGTCATTGCATGTGGTTCTGTGTGTTGGCTTTGAGGAGAGTGGTAACTTCTGCAGTACAGGAGGAACTGATGAGAAAGGGTCATATGGTGAATTATTGCAACAACATTTGCATAAAAATCATCATTTTCATTTTGGTCCGTCTGTTAAGTTTTTAGGTGAGTCTTAATGAATGATGGATGTGGGCTGCACAGCCAGTGGAGCAACAGAAATTAGTGGGCTCTTTCTTATGTGCAAAGTGACAAAGGGCCCCATGTCAGTGCTTTCATAATATTGAAACTTGTTAAAAAGATAGAGCTAAGTAAGTGGGTAAAAGGGTAACTCACAGTTTGAGGAGGCAGTAGGAAGATAGATGCACCTTGACCAAAAAACAGCTGAGGAAGAGAAGATAAAACCCCCATGCATTGCAAATTTTGGGTCTTGCTCTATAATATTTCAGTATCTAGACTCCTGTTAGCAGTGCCACTGGCAACTTTGATTCATACTGGAAGCCTTAGGTGAATGAAGATGCTCCAACACAACAGAAATGCACCTGAGAATACTTTATAAAAAAAAAACCCAAACTAGTTAACTATTCAAAATACAGTTAATTTGTAAATTTTATTTAATAATCTGGTCCTGGGAAATATCAAGACAGTGTCAGGATCATGTTTTCTTTCTGGGAGTTCCATCTCAAGGTCTCTTGCATCATCCTATAAAGTCTATGTATTGCTGACTGAAATAAGCTGAGTGTGATGACATTGCTTATAAATATTCAATTCTATTCAGTATAAATCATGGTAGGGGTTTTGCTGTCCCTGCTAGCAGTGTAGGATCTTCTTGACCCTGATGTTCTGCCATTTGACTGGTTTTACTGAATAACTCTTTCCTTTGCTACAGCATTGCACAGCTCCCTGGAGTGCCTCCACTCCTTCATTTGGTTTGATAACCCAGTAAAAAATAAGACCCGCCATGCTTTCCAGAGAGCAAAGCAGCTGAGGATTTCAGCAGAGAAGATGCAGAAGAATGGGACATGGCTGCTGAGGTACTTGGTATGTGACCCCAGGTGTGCCAGCTCCCTCTCTGAGCAGTGGCACCCACCTGCCCTCACCCAAGCAGGAGGACTCGGGGTGCTGGTAGGGGTTATGCAGGCTTGTTACCAGCAAAGTGTCCATACAGTTTCACTTCAAATTGAATGTTTCTTGCCTGTGCTAAAATGAACTTGGGGTTTTTGTGCATATTGACAATAAGATTTTTCTCTGAGGGTGGCAGAGGTTTTGGATAGACAAAGAGTGCCTGTGTGGCAATGAGATTATTTATGACCAATATAAACTAACAACAGATAAGTCATGTATGGACATGCTCTGCACATATCAAAGCACATTGTGTCTTTTATTGCATTACTTTTATGACATAACAAACAGAACAATAAGAAATTTGTATTTCATAAGCCTCTCATAAATTAAACAATTTTAACACATGCTCTCTATGACTAAGATTATGTATGCATTGACACTTTGCAAGTTGGTTAAGGTTATGTTTTTCCACACATCTAAGTTCTTTGTTAACATATTAAACTGCTAGAAGAAATCAACTTTACATGGCCACTTCCATGCAATCAAAAGGGTATGTGTTTGTTACATTAGGAGCTTGTGAAAGAAAAAAGTAACCTGCATCCATTTTCTTTTTGAAGTTTTGCTTAATCTTGCAGTGAGGCAGGCCCTGCTTGTATTGATACTGTAAAAGCACAAAGGACATCTAGATGCCTTTTTCTCTTAAGGCTTAATTCTTGAATGTTTGGAGGGGTTTTAGCCTTTTATACCAGTTACACATGTTGAATCTTATTGAGGGAGCTTTCATCAGAAGTTCTAAGTAATTATTATTATTATGCTGTTAGTTTTGATAAATTAGTTTGAAGGAAAGTACTCTTCGTCAGAATATGAAGTACTTGGTACCTCTCTGACATAGATCTATTAGCTGTATGTCAAGAGATAGTCAAGGAGAATAAAAAGTCAAAGTGATTTTCTAATGTGTTGTTCCTTAGGGAGGAGAGGTAAAGCACTTGTTTCTTGTCTTTCTCTTTCATGTGTCTTCACTTCCTCGTGATCTGCACCTTTGTCCCAGTGACCTCTGCGACTGCCCATGTGAGGTGAGAAGCCTCTTCTTACTGTGGCTTTCACTGTCAGTAGTATTCCCGGTTTAAAGATCCAGTAATGCCAGACTTATCTCACATAATACTGTTCATACTGCAGCTATTTTCTAAGAGGGGCCAAACCACAAGTGCAAGGGGGAAATATTTTCAGTGTGGTTTGTTGTTTTTTTTTTCTTTTTCTGCTCTAATTAAATGAGTTTAAACTAATTGACTAGTTCTTCTGATTACATTTGAGTTAAAACAAAATTCTACTGGTACTGGTTTGGGGTTGAGCATTCTGAGTTTTATTGGTTTACTGTTAATATTTCTGGTTGTTTCTGTTTGAAAATTACCCACCTAAAATTTTAAAAATTATTTATAATAATAATAATTTTTAATAATTTAAAAATTACCCATCAAGGGCAATACGGGAACATTTCTGTCACTAAATCTGTTTCAGCAGTAGTTTTAGATGCTGTTCCCTCTATAAAGCAAACTGATGGCATCAGTGAATTGCTGTAGCTCATGACTTTGTGTAATTATGCGTAATTTGTTCATGGATACTCAGTGCCATCAGTGACAAATCCCAGGAGAAAACATATCTCGTTTAGCGTAAGGAGAAGTTGGGGTCAGGCACTGATCACGGGGGTCAGCATCGCACCGTGGGCATCTCGGGGCTGAATTCAGCCTTTTGGCAAAGCCCTTAACACTTGGTGTTTAACTAAAAGCCCTTTTTTACGTGCATGTGGTAGATTTTTGTAGAGACTACACAGACGAAACGCGAGGCTCCGCTTTCCTGTTCTTGCTGTGTCTCTGGGATCCCGGGGCCGAGGCCCGGCCCCCCCTGCCCGGTGAGGGCGCGGCGGGCGGGGCCGCACCGCCCGCGCTGCTCCCAGGCCGCGGCCTGCCCGGCCGCCCCCGGCGGCGCCACCTGCCCGCGCGGCGGCCCCGCTGCCTGCCCGCCCCCATAGGCCGCAGAGCGCCCGCCCCCGGCCGCCTGTGGCGGGCGCGGCCGCTCGGCCGCCCTCACTCCGCGCTCCGCGCCGGGCCGCGCCGGGCGATGCCGTGCGGGCAGCCCGACAGCGGGGCCGCTCCGGCGCGGTACGTGCTGGGGGTGGACGTGGGCAGCACGGTGGTGAAGTGCCACGTCTACGACCGGGCGGCCGCCGTCAGGGGTTCCAGCCACAGGAAGGTGAGTACGGGAGGGTTGCGGGGCGCGCCCCCGGTCGGGAGCGGGGCCGAGCGGCGAGAGCAGCCGGGGGCAGCACCTGTCTCGGGAGCCGGGCGGGGCCGAGCGTGCTCGCTGTGCCCCGAGCGCTTCCGACCTGCGGGGGTTGCCCGTCGGGGCTCGGCGTTCGCAGGCTCTCAGCCAGCTCGGCTGGTCCCAGTGCACGGGCATCTCCTGAGGCAGGACGGACAGGAGGGGCTCCGCCTCCCGAGGGGTGAAGGGAAACCCACAAACCCCGACCCCCGCGGGACCGCCGTAGCTCTCACCCCGTTACTTCAGCGCTAACCCCCTCCCACCCTTCCCGGTTACCTTACCTTCGGTCGCTTATCGACTGATCTGTCTGAACAAAACCACTTTTGTTAGTAGGGCACAGCTGAGATTTGCAAAGGATTTACGTTTCACGCATCCCATCATGTAACAGCGCTGTGTGAAAAAGCGTCAACTTTAGAACGTGAATTTCAGGCTGCTTTTGGTTAGTACCGCTTGTGATTTTAGGATGAAGGCAATCGCCAGAATTAACTTTTTTTTACTGTTACCTATTGCAATGAAGATCTTGCAGCGAGGAGAAGTGTAAGAAATCTGATGGATTTCGGAGATGGAAGGGGCTGCTCTCGGTGGAGCTGACCCTCCCTGGCGCTGGAAGCTGGTCTGACGGGTGATCCCTGGTCTGCTGTGCTGCCACTGAGAAGCTCAGAGGCACCGACGTCAGAATTAAGCAATGCACCAAAAACGGCTTTCTGAGACACCTGCTTTCCTTTTTGCAGCTCTGGAAGGGGTTTTACAGGTTCCTTTATTCCAAGAGGTTGGGACTTCCTTATTTAAAGGGGTCTGAGGTTCTTTATTGCCCTGGAACAGGGGAGGTCTTCTAGAGATCACACACCCATGTTGAACAATATTTTTAAACTTACGCAATTGTTTCTACTCTTACAGGAGATTCACAAAATGAAGAACAAAACAAAACAACCCAAAGCCAAATGTATTTGCTGATTTCTAGGGATCATAATAAAGCTATTTGTGTTTCCCAAACAGGTAGAATCACTTTATCCTCGTCCTGGATGGGTTGAATTAGATCCTGAAGTGCTATGGAGTCAATTTATTGGTGTAATAAAAGAGGCTGTACAAGGTAAGGGCTTAAATTTGAGAAATTATTTATCAAAATTTAGTAAATTTAGTTACTTGGATAATAAAACTATTTTTAGCTAGTACTGAAAATCATCACTGGGCACAGGACTACAACATGCTATAAGGCCTATTCAGTCATTATGTAAATTAAGGTTCTTCAATTACCTTTTTCCTTTCATTGGGGCCAGATTAGAATTGAAGTAGAAGCAATGTGAATACTTGATTTATGCATCAGTGCCAGCACTTTGTGGCTCCAGCTTTTTGTATATGCATCCTTCCCCAGTGTCTGTTCCTCCAGATGCCTCTGTGCAGGAACAGAGAGCTGGCTTGTTCCCCTTCCAGTGCCCCATTGTTCTACCACCACTTTGTATGTATGAGTGAGAATGAATGCAGGATGCTGCAGAGCTGGGCTCACTCGATTGCAACCTGATATTCCTCCTTTTCCCATTCAAACTTTAAGTGATTCTTACTGTCCTATCCTGTATTACTGTTCTTTTCTATTTGTACTTTAGCCTACAAATTCCTAGTGCTTCACACACTAAATACATATGACTCCTTTTTCTGACAAACCTCTGATGGGTTTTTCCCCCTGCTTTTCTGGATGCTGCTCTAACCTAGCTCTTGCTTTCTACAACTCTCACAGCTTTTGTATTAATCTACCTCCAGTGTTCTGCCGTCCATCCTGGATCACCTGTGCCATGTTGATGCTGTGAACCTGTCAACTGGACAGGTTGCCTTCCCACTGCCTCCTTGGCCTGTGTATGCACATTGCCCTCTTTCGTTCAAGTCATTCAGTTCCTCCTGTTCAGCCCCTCTTGCTTGGTCTCCAGTGTTGCTCTGCCTTCAGACTTGGCTCATGGCAAAACTGCTTGTCCCTTCCTTTGGATGGCTGCCTAAGGAACAGGGAAAGTAAATATCACCAGGTGTAAACTGAAGCTGATTATTTTGGGCTCTTGGTTTGTTTTGTCAGCAGCCACAACTATTTGGTCACAAGAACAGCAATGCCACCTCAACCCCCAAAGACCTTCCTGTCTTCCTTCATTTCCATTCTGTGGGACAAGTCAGGAAGCAAGACTTTTCAGCTAGTTTTAAAAAAGGAAGATTTCCTTGTGGCCAAGCTGCACCCATTGTTGGCAAGTCATTTTTAAGTGGGTGTGTAAGTAAGCATAACTCACAGTGCTGTCAAAAGAAACAATTCCACCCCTTTTTTTTTACAGAGGTCTCCTAGAGCAGGGCAGCTTCCTGAGTGGAATCACTGCCGGGTTGTTTATGCCAGCAGAGCTTCACCAGTGTTTGTGCTGACGCAAGGGAGGGTGTGGTAGCAGGGGCAGGAATGACTGTCTGGAAGCAGAAGGAGCACAGTGACACTTGGGTTTGCAGAGCTTGTGGAGCTAAACATGTGATTCCATGCATGTGTGGATGAGCTGCTGCAGTTCAGTACCACCTGAAGGTGGAATCTTCTGGCTGCATGGTACCAACTTTGTCTCTTACTGTGGCACTCCATCCACAAAAGGCAGCTTAACTGAAAAATACTCATGTTTGTCTTTAGGTTTGTTTTTGTCTGTAATGGAAGTTAGCTCCACTTACGTGGGTGGGTCTGGAGAGTATGATAGCTGACACAGGGAAAGTGGTGGGACTGTGCAGATTGTGGAGATGGGAAGGAGTAACACATGCCAGTAGTCCTTAGTGAGCTGTGAAAGTTCTTGAAAGCTGTGGCTTTGCCTGAAAAAGACATAGTGCTGTTCTCAGGCCACCCACTCCCAGGTCCCCCTCCTGTACCCTCCTGCTGCCAGCAGCACTTGTGCAGGCAGGTGGAGCCGGTTGCCTTGCGAAAGCACTGGTTTAATTCCCAAGTGATTGAGGAATTGATAGCACTGCTGGCAGGGATGCAAGGAGCCAGTGTAAGGGGAGGTGCAGAAGCACAGGTAGAGTTGGGTAGTACAGGATGTGCCCTTTCTCTGTGAAACCCCTTCTGTAATTGTCACTGAGAGGGTGCTGGGTGTAGAGTCTGCAGGACATGCTCACACAAATGAGCAACTCTGCACGTGCAAATTAACATGAGAACATGTATGAGCAGGACCTACTTAACCTGGGATTTGTTCAAGGAGCTGGAATGAGAGCCCTTCAGAGTAACAGGATAGGGTGGGTAGTCTGTCATTTAAGTGGAAATTTTTTAATGTGTATTTTCTTAATGTAATTTTGCTTCTGGAAGTATGGCTGGAGGTAATTAGCAAGCTGACCAGAGTTGCTTTGAAAATAGCTATGAATATATTTAATTATTTACACTTACATTAGAAAAAATGTTCTGTAACATTTTTTACAGAACATTTACAGTTATTTGAAGGTAAGGTTTAACAGCAAAATTGGTGTATATCCAAATGTACATTTTTGTACTTCTGACTTGAAAGTACACTTTGTTGCATTCGGTAGTACCTGATTTAAGCAAGTTCTTTCTTAGGAATTTTGAACTGTTGCTCAAGAAATATTTCAAGTGAGACATGTCATTATCAATGTGATGCAAAAAGTTATGGTGTATTCATATTTATCTATTTACTGCCTGCAGGGTCAATCTAGTTTTGTTTCTTTATAGAAATTCTTTCCCTAAGTCTGTAAAGGTGCTTTCGTTGGTGCTTTTGTTCACATTCATCCATGTGAAATCTGCATTTTAATTGATCATGTGGGCATATGTAATCTGCCTGCTTGTCTCTGAGATTGTTCATATAAGGTATCAATAGGCCTTTCAGAGGGTGGAAAGGATCCAGTTGTGTGCCACAACTGCTTTTGCAAAATACGTAGGTTTGTTTATCTACTTTGGAATCAATTCTCTGACTCAGAGCTCTCTAACATTTCACTGCTCTTAACACTTAGTTGAACGATTTGTAGAGATTTATATTCTCATAAACTGTTATTTTCCTAAGTATTCCATAGGTTTTATAGTTATATTGAAGAAATAATATTTTTCTTTGCTTCTCCAAATAAATTCTTTTTTTTGTGATTGTCATTTATTTTCGGTTTTTAGCTGCAGGACTTCACATGAGGCAAATTGCTGGTCTTGGCATCTCCACCCAGAGAGGAACTTTCATTACATGGCACAAGTATGTATGTTGTGTGTTCTTTAAAATGAGTTTGTATTCATAGACTGGATAGAAGCAGGCTGTAGAAGTGTTGAACTCAAAAGTAAAAATTGTCAAGTCACTTGTGTTCTCTTGTGTTTGCACAGCCACACCTTAGGGCTGTTCAGAACAGATCGTGACTGTCTGGCCTTTTTGTTCTTTATGCATTGGAAGAGATTAAATCCATATGTATTTTTAATTCTGGTGAGAAGTCTGACACTCCAGATGTCTGTGTGCTGATTTAATAATTCCTCAAATCCACCAGGAGGATATGCAGTTATTATAGGAACTAACCTAGTGTTTATTGTCCTGATTGGAAATGCTGCATAATGTTGAATGTTTTGGGCAATTTGTGTTCTCTGGCTTTAATCATTCAAATACTGTTTTTCAGGAGGACAGGGAAACCCTTTCATAATTTCATAAGTTGGCAAGACTTAAGAAGTGCTGAACTTGTGAATTCCTGGAATAACTCCCTTCTGCTGAAGGTAAAACTGCACTAATCTAGATACTGCTTGGATATATTAGAGCTGTTTAACTCTTATGACAAGTAAGGGCACTGTATGGAATACTGCAAGTGTCCTGTTCACATGGTGATGTGATGTGCTGTGGCCATCATTTAACCGAGCAATGAACATTTATTTAACTGAGTAATAATAAGATAGTTCCAAGAAATAAAGTTCACTACTGGTAGCCTAAAGTAATTATTATGGAAAAAGATACCTATAGGTCCAAGGCTCATTTTGTTACTTTTTAGTCTGTTATATTAAAACCTTGCATGTTGACACCACTGCAGCGTGGGTTGTGGACGTAGGTAGGTCTGGGTTTGCAGTGGTTTGGGCTTTTGGTTTCTGGGCTTGTTTTCTTCAGGTACCCTTTGCTCAGATTATCTATAGGAGGTACATTTTATGCTGTTTGTGGCTTGTGCTTCGTACTTGTAGAAGAGAAAGATTTGCTCCAAGCCCAAAACCAGAAGTTAGTTTTCCTCCAAGTGGAAACTAAGCAACACAGTCACATTAAGAAATTAAATTATTGGGTTTGCCAGTTACTTCTTTTGTGAAAACTTGCTTAATGGTTAAATTTTGGTAAATCTAGTAAGTCATGATTGAGCCTGTCAGCTGTAAGAGAACTTGCACTGGAATAACAGTGTGTCATGGTGTCAGCCACATCACGCATTGTGCTCACAGAGGTGACCAGTGTTGGCAGTGCAGAGCAGTGGCTGCCAGTGCCCCAGCAGAAGGTGCTCAAGCAGCCTTGCTTAGAGCAGCTGCTCTTTGCTGAGGTGTGTGTTGCTGTCTGTTGATATGAACGTCCTTACATAATCCTACTCAGGGATCCTCTGAAGGAGTTAGAGTTTGCTGAATCTAATGTCAGCAGCTTTCAGCTGTGTTGTCATCCTTTAAAGGTAATTGATCAGTAACCTTTAGAGGGCAAGATTAAAAATTAAGTAACTGTTTTCTTTTGAAACAGGTAATCCATGTTATTTTTACAGTGCTTCATTTCTTGACTGGGAATGATCGATATTTGGCACCCAGTTTTCTTACTTTCTCAACACATCAAGCTTCTATGAAGTTGTCATGGGTTTTTAAAAACATACATGAGGTAAGCTGGAAAGGGAAAAGCAATGACTTTAAGTCATAATGATGGCTTGTGACTGGGAGGTGTTGTTCAGGGCCAGGCTGGATGGGGCTTTGAGTGACCTGGTTTAGTGGAAGGTGTCCCTGCTCATGGCTGTGGGGTTGGAACTCTTTAAGGTCCCTTCCAGTCCAGGCCATTCCATGACTCTGTGGCTATTGGCTGTAATTGCTTCAGTTTTCTCTTGCTCGTTCTTCTCAGAAGAACCAGAAGAGACTTTTTTCTGTGTAAATGTTCAAAGCCTGTCTACCAAAATAGTAACTTACATTTGTTCAAATTTTTCCTCTCATTCTAGAAATGCATAGTAGTAAAAAGCTTTCTTTATACATAAGCAGCATAATAAAATGATCTTATTTGACTTGATACATTTATACAGTTAGCGATTGTACTTTGTTTTGAAGCTGTTTGCCCTCTGGTTTTGCATGATGATTTTATTTCTTTTCAATGGGACCTCTTACCTTTCCACTCTGCATTATTCCTGAGTGTTTTGCAGTTTCACAAATAACACCATACTGCACAATTCATTTTGTATTTTTGTGAATTGGAAAGTGCATGTGGAATAAGTTGTGCTGGATTACTCTAGTGCACTAATGAGCCCTGAGCTATGTGTTGCTATATTCATTGCTCTAATACTCACCATGCAGGACCTTGTTTTTTTAATCTACCACTCTTTCACCACTGTTATAATTGTGACTGTAAGTTTCTTTTCATAAGGCTATGATGCCCCTACAGTAGAAGATTAATTGCATTTCTTTTCTTAGAAGCAACTGTAAAAAAGTGTTCATATTTTCTGCTAGGAGCATGAACTTGTAGGATAGTATTAGTTAAATAGCCAACTCAGCCTTTTTAGAAGAAAAGTTTACCATCAGAGACTTATTTTCTGAGGACATTTAGATTAATCATGAAGAAAATAATAAAAGAAATCAATAAATATTCTTCTCTTACCATACCCATTTGTAAATAATTTTTTTCATATATTTTTTCCCCAGGCTGAAGAAGCTGCCAAAAAAAACAACTGCTGCTTTGGAACGGTTGACACATGGTTACTGTATAGATTGACTAAAGGTGAACATTACAGTTCCTCTTAAATATCAGTAAAACACACTGGAATCTAAGAAATTATGTTCATTACTTGTCATTTATATATCCTAGAATTCAGATACTTTTTTTTGCAGTTTGTGCTTTTGTATATTCAATAAAAATTGTAATGTATTTCCTGTTACAAAAAGAGCTTCTGAATAAATTGTTCTTGGGGCCTGCCTGGAAGGGAAATATTTGTTCAGTGTAATCAGCCTTCTAAGAGTATAAGATTTAAAGAGGACTAACAGAGCTAATTGGTGTTGATTGAAGAAAAGTACCTGTGAAAGCAAAAGAACAAAGAATTGTTAAAAATGTGGAAGAATTACAAGTTTCTATTCTGAGGACTAATGCCTGAGGAGTCACATTATGACTGTGATGCTGTTGGCTGTTCTGGACAGGTTCATGAGAGGAAACTGGGTAATTAATGTGTGCATGGAATAGTGAGCAGCAGGTAAAATCTCTGTGCTCATTGTATCATTGTGATTTTTCTCATTCACACTTGATTTCTATTTCATGGGAGTCAATGAGATATTTAAAGAAAACTTAAATATTTGGATGTCTAAAAATCTTACTTTGTTCTCTCTTTTCATGCTAGGTTCTGTGTATGCTACAGATTACTCAAATGCCAGTTCCACAGGCATTTTTGAGCCCTTTACGGTATGTGCTGTTCCAGAGAATGCTGTTGCTATTTATTGTGCTTCTCAGAGGGTTGCTAATGTTTTCACTTTTTCATTTCAGAAATGTTGGAATCCCACTTTGTGTAATCTACTTTCTATTCCAGTGTCTATTTATCCACCAGTTAGAGACACAAGGTAACTATGAAGGCATAATTAAAAGAATATGATAACTGTTAAATTAATTGCTGAATTAATTATGATTAATTATGAAATACTAAATATTCTGTACGGGCCAAATAATATACATGAGCACAAAAAATATTTTTATATGCAGTTATACCTTGTATTAAAAGTTTACCAAGTCCAAAACTTTTTTTACTGTGTTTCTTAAAGTGATAGTTTTAATGTTTTCTTTACAATAAGTTAGTAGCATTACCTTTTATGTGTGATCCAGACCAAAGCTATATGTACCTAGATTTCATTTTAACAAAAAGGTAATTTTAATGTGATTTGTTTTAAGCTTCAACTTTGGATCAACTGACTCTGAAATATTTGGGGTACCTATTCCAATAATGGCAGTGGTAAGTGAAAATATTTTCTTAAATCTGTGTGTTTATATTCTGTTTATTTGGCTTTGATTGATTACTTGCTTCTTTCATTAATATTCTCTATTGATTCTCTGTGATTTAGCTACAATAGAATTGATTATTGAATTATTCTCCAAAAAGCCAGTCTACAACATTAGGGGGAAGGAGGAGAAAGGAACAAGAAGGGATTTCTAGAGGCTGAGGTCCACTAAGTTTGTGTGGCCAAATGATTAAGTTCTGAATGTAGGACTCTAAGCTCTGGTAATGTGTGTGTCTGGGTTAAAATCAGTTGTTCTGTATGAAGTTATGCAAGAGTCCATGCTGACTTCAGTGAGACTAAACTACTTAAGAGTATTTGTTAATATATCCACTTGTACCTTTCATCCTTTTTTTATTTTTCTCTAAAAATAAGTGGCAAATAACATGTTCTTTCCTCAGTAGTTAGAATTTGGATAAGAAAACCTGAAGTGATGATTTGGAGCAAAATCTACTTGAACTGAGCTAAATGAAAAAACTGTCCCCTAGCTAACAATAATTTGTCTTGTTTTAAAGGACTGTGGACTAAACTTGCTGCAAATTCACTGTTTCACCAATGCAAAAGCATAAGTAAAAACATTTAATAACCATAATCGTGGTTGAAAAATGGAGCATGGAATAATTTGGTACAGGAGGGGTATCAAGGATAAAAAAAGGCAAGACCTCAATACTTCAACTTTCTATTTGGAGAAAAAGGAATTCAGGCCAAGCTACTCTGTTCTGCTCCTTGGGATTGCAACTGCCTCGTTTATCCTTGTTAAATATTAAACCACAAAATACTTCTTTTGTTTCCATAATGTTTTTCAGTGTTGCAAGGAGTCCTACAGATACTTCACACTGTGAAACTTGGTGTAATTTGATGCCAGTGATAAATCTGACTGTTATAATAGCCTGCAAATGCTTAAGAAATTGTAAATGAGTCCTCTCTGAATGCTCAGTTCCTGAGTGGTTACTTGTATTCAGAACTCCCGAGTGTTTACAGAGATATTTTCAAAGCAGCATTGCAGGTTGGTGGTTGGTAGCTAACTTGTCCCGTTGTTCTTGTTGGATTGACAGGTAGCTGATCAGCAGTCAGCCATGTTTGGAGAATGCTGCTTTCACCCAGGAGATGTTAAACTGACAATGGGAACAGGTGGCTTCTGGAATGTCAATACTGGAGAGCATCTCTTTGCAGCACGGGGAAGTAAGACTGAAGTTTTGGTTTCAGGGGATTTTATTCTTTCAGCTGTTCCTTGATAGCTGTTACTGCTGAGGGTCCACAAAAGAATAGAACAAGGCTGTGCTTTTTCTTCTCTCTATAAGGGTAGAAAAAGAGCTTGGGAGCTCTTTCAGAAGAGAAGACTAAGGAAAATTTTAATTAGCAATGTAAATTTTGGTTATCCTAAAGTAAGCTTCTCAGGAAGAGAACTTAATTAGCATCATTGGTAATTATATCCCTCCTGTTTTGTTTTTTTTCCTTCACCTGTTTTTCATAGCAGTATTGTACAGGATAGGAGAAAAAAGGGATTGATCCTCTGGCTTCTCACATCAAAATGTTGCAGTGAATCATTGCAAGTTCTTCCCCTTGAGCCCTTAAGCGTTGAAGCACGTGCAGTGAGATAATGCAGGATTAGAAGTTATAAGTTTTCTTTTAAAATGGGCTCCCCAGTGTGTTTCTAGTGTTTAAAACTTTGTCATTCTGAACATCTGTGGTCTGTCAAGTAATTTGTCAAGAGAGCAAACACTGAAGATGACACTGAAGTAAATTTGCCTACACAGTCTCTCTGTCTGTCATATTTTTAGAGAGTTACTAATTTCAGGATGTCTACTGCTTAAAATGGAGTGAGGCTGGGGAGGAGGACAGCAGTGTGATAAAGAGAATTTTACCAGCTCAAGTCTTGAAGGACCTTGGCAAATACATGAGATGTGTCAGGACTGAATAGCATAGACATTGAATTCCCTGTGAATGGAAATGCTTTTTTTGCTAATTAATTATGTCATTATTATGATATTTTTATTTAGGAAATAATACATATGTAGTCTGTTAAAATGTAATAGCAAAAAACTTGCTGTAAAGTTTTTCTATTTAGCTGTTGTATTCTGATAGGAGTTAACATCTTCTAAGGCAGTGCTGTGAAACTTCTACTGCTTTAGGCTGTTAGTTTGGTTAAAATTATTTTCCCTGTGTTCTCTGGCTGTCCTGGGGTATGGTTAGTGGGACAAGCTAAGTGCCTGGCTTTCTCAGTGCCCTGGGCATGAAATGTAATGTGTTCAATCTTTAAAGCTGACATATGTATTTAAGACTGCAAGATGAATCCCTGCAGCATCCTTGTGCAAGCTATTCATTAGCTGCTGTTCTAGTTTCTGGTCTACATTTAGCTCCTACATATAACAGTTTAAAAAAAAGAAAAATAAAGTATTCCTTCAAGACCAGCCTGTCTCACAATTCAATGATGGAATCATGTTGTATAGGTTTAAAGCTACCTCTGGTAGTCTGAGGGTTCTTAATACCTCTGGTGATGCCAAGTGTCATGGGGATCCCCTTCCCTGGAGGTAGGATTGTGTTACCCTGCTAGAAACTCTGGTGTGAGCCTCTTTAGGGAGGCCACGTGATGGATGGATGTCTCTGTCCCTAATTACCTGCTCTTCTTTAGGATTTTCGGCTCAATTAACTTTTTGGGCTTTTTTTCTTGTGCCTTTACTTTTAGTAAAAAATAAAGATTTCAAGGGACACCTGCACCAGGATGATCTGGAGTTATATATATACATTCCCCTTTCAAGAGACAAATACAGACTTTAATCAGTGCTGCTGATTGTTTTATATTGTAAGCACCTGAGTGCCCCAGTACCAACACAAGTTCCTGCAATTGCACTGGGACTCCCACACAACTCATTTGGACACAGGCCAGCAAGCTGGAGATGATTCTGTGAGGAATACAAACATCAGCAAAGTCACTTTGAGAAAGCAGAGAGAGCCCCTAGATCTTGTGGTGCTTTTTTGGTCCTTGTAGAGGTACAATGGGACTCGTTTACCTTTGTAGTATTGCCCATGATCTCTGAGTCCTCAGCAGGGCTCCATAAAGTGTGAGCACTTCCTTCACTGCAGCAGTTACTGTGCCTGATTGGGTGAAGTTGTTGCAGTGACCACTGACTACTTGGGTTCTTATCTGGTGACCTGAAAAGCCATTTCTCTAGCTGAAGTGCGGGTGAAACTTGTTTCCTTTTTTTGCTTTCTGTTTGAGGAAGCATTGCATATTAAACAGGGAATTAAAAAGTACACCACTTTCATCTTCTCCTGTGAATAAGATCTGTGCTCTAAGTTTGTGTTACTTTTTTTGTGTGTATATGTCTGTTTCAGTTTTGTGTTTCCCATCTGAGAGCCAAGCCTTCATGCTTTATCTTTTGGGGGAGAACACTCTTCATTTTTAGAAACGCTTGGGGAAAGTTGGATGGACTTAATTAGAAAAACACTGATAAATTTTTAGGTATGCACAATCTCTTATATAAAAAATAAAAGTAGGCACAGATAGATCTTCAGTTTAAAGGTGGTTTCTTTGGTAATTTGATAGCATTTTTTTTAGGTTAACTTTGGTCTAACAACCTGTTACTCAGTTCTCTTGTTATCCCATCACTAAAGTTTTAAACAGTATATTTAACCTCTACCAGTGATTTCTTTAGTTTGAATTCTACAAAGGAATTTATATTTTCTAGGTGGGTTTATTGTGAGGAATGTTTGTATATATTTATCTGGAAACATTTATTTTAACTGAATGTTTTGTTTCCTGGAAAATAATGAAGGTCTTTATCCACTGATTGGTTGGAAGATTGGGGAGGAAGTTGTTTATTTAACTGAAGGCTCCATATCGGACGTCGGCACTGCCATAAAATGGGCTCTGGATATAGGTAACTGCTGTCATTTTATAGAGGGTGAAATATATAACTGCTTAAGCTGTTTCATGGGTTCATAGTTGTGTTACTGGATTTGATTTATTATTCATAAGTGAAGGAAGTCATCTTCATGCTTTGGACAGCAGAAATGCACAGTCTTTTTAGTAGGCACTCTGCTGAGGGTGTTTGCTGCAGGGAGTTGGGTTTGCACAATCATCTCCTCTTCAGTCTCTGCCTCAGACCATCGTGCCTAACTAGGCTTTTATTTTCCTGAAACATTTTACTCCTCACTTGCTTTTGAGAGGGCTTGAGCTGTACATCTCATAGCTAATAACAGGTTTGATTTATATGAAAATAACATGAAGAACTTTGCAAGGAACTGTTGCTTCACATGGAAGTAATGTGCCTTTTGGCTGTTACTGTTTTGTAATGAAAGGTTTTGCATTCCAGTTTAATGACAGACTAAGGAAATACCAGCTCTGTAGTAGCTGATGTTCAAACCTACTGATTGTTCATAGAAAAACTGTTCTCAGTATTCTAATTAGAACTTCAAAATTTACTTGTCTTACTTAGAAATTTAGCGTATTTTTTCCTAGGATGAGAAAAAAGTGATTAATGTCTCAAACTTTGGATTGTCTGGGAAGGGTTTTCCTCACCACAAGATTCCACATTTCTTGAAGCTGTCAGCTTTAGATGCATGTGTACATGGATGTGCTCTGGCACGTGCCCCTAAGGGTTAAGTGTGACTCAGATTGGTCCTCACATCTTCATCCAACGTTTGACTAAGCCTAGAGAGTAACAGGCACCAGGCTTTGGAGGAAGTAACTCAGTTCAGTTCACATTTCAGTGCTGCAGGCTCAAGTGTCAGTGCTACATATATAAGCTTGCTACTTCAGATTCCATAATTAAAATGGGTACTTATCCATATGGAACTTATCTGTACTTAAAATGGATAGTATTGGTATATGCAGAAGTAGAAAGGATTTGTAGCTAGTCAGTAGTAAAATGATCATGACCTACAGTTGCTACTGTAGAAAAAAAAAAAGGGGGGGAAGTTTTAGAGATGGGATAAATGAAAGGCAAGCTGCTTTAAACTCTGTAACAAGTAAGGCCTTTATTTTCTGAAAATATTGTTGCAGAGAAGCAGAATTCAGAAACTTTTATCAGCTTTAGAGAATGGAAAAACTTTAGCTCTACAGAAGGAATTGGGCCAAAACACAAGGTAAGCTAATGGCCTCAATAAGGGTGGTGAGGCCCAACATGGATGAAGATGAGACACAATAGTGGTAAAGGTTTGGAAATAATAATTTCTGCAGCAAGGCAAACTTAGTTTAGTGCACTTCTTTTAGTGGAATCCTATAACTTCGAAGAATTTTTAAGAAGTAGGAGTTTGTGGAATTTCAGCATGAAGTCAGTCTTACTTAATTTTTGATTTTCTGTCCTGGCATAGAGGTGTACTATATATGTAATTCAATAATAGCAAAGACAACAAGAAGGAAAAAATGTGATTTTGGTTTATTAGTCTGAGCACAGTAGAATCCATAGTATTCTCACAAATTCACAAAGGTTACAAAGGTAAATTGAAACTCCTGATAAATTACCAAGGTGGGCTTTTTGAAGGTAAGTTGAGCTAGATTAAACTAATTTACCTTTAATAGGAAAATTCACTTATTTTAGACAAGAAAAAGCAGTGTCTCTCATGTAGAGAAGACCACTAGTCTTCTGTGAAATCATGTTATGTGGCCACATAAGGACATCATTAGTTGCACCTGTGGAAGAGGGATGTTAGTACAAGAGTTTCATGTGAGTGAAGAAGAAGCTAAAGAGGAATGTCTGTAGAGTTAGGAAAGGAGTCACCTGGCTGGACAGAGAATAAAAGCAGTGTTTATCCAAGAGGCATTATTGTGATAAGAGGTGATGTATTACCTTATGTGTCACTTGTCAAGATACTAAGAGTGCTGATAAAACATAGGTATTAAGGACTTCTCTGCAGTTGTTAGGTGGTTGGACTGACAGTAACAACATAAGGGGAAAAATATGTTCTATGAATCTAAGGTTTTAGCACTCTTAGGTGCCATTATCATTCTTAATTCCCATTTATGTCTTGAAGATTAAAAGGCTACAGCATAGCAGATAGGAAAGGATCCTTTTGAGTTTAGCCTTCATCTGAATACTTGGGGATTATTGATGTGACTTATGGACATGAAATAGGGAAGAGATTGTCTCCCTTAGAACATGTAGTTTGAAAATATTGAAAAGGGAGTAGTTTGACTCTAGATGTTTTTTCCTTAGTGAGACAAAATTAAGAAATTGAAGGAAATAATAACATCCTACCACCTGTGTATCTTTACAGAACTTGTCAACAATGTAGATGAAACAGCAGAAATGGCACAGAGTACTGCTGATTCTCAAGGTGTTTGTTTCATTCCAGGTTTGCAGGTAAAAATATTATTAATAAATCAAGATTGAATTTTAATAATCCAATTAAAAATGAATTTTTACATTTTAAAGGTAATACTTTACATCTTATCACAGTATTTATTCTGTACTGTTGAGGTTCTTACTGTCTGTTGCTCATCACAATACATGAAGGCCATTGTCATATCAGAATGGTTAAATGCCATTCCTCCCCTTGAGAAAACCCTTACCAAATATGAAAATCAGTGATGGACAGATAGACTGAATTATTTCCCCCTAGTAACACTGGCAATGCCTGCAGAGACACAAACCAATGCCACAGCTTTTCTGCTATGAAGGACAGAGCTTTCATTGAGACAATACTTCTAATCACTGTTCTAAAATAATTTATTTTATTCTGCCTTTTTTCAAGGTGTAGGTTTGTAATTCATCAGAATATTTTAAAGCATCTAAATATTAGCAAGCTTGCAAGTCCTGGCGTTATGAAAAGCAAAGATAATAGTGAAGCACTTCCCTAGGAATGGTCAAACTCAGTATAACAGACTTCTCTTAGAAGTCTTAGTAACTGTTTGCCTTCAGTGATCTAAGCTCATCTCTTAGTGTGTTGCTAAAAGTTTGAATTAACCATGCTCAGTTTGATCATTCCCAGGACTAGTGATTTTTTATGAACAACCTTAACATCTTTACCTTACCTTTGTCTAAGTTCTGTATGCTAATGGAACAAAGCAAAGAAGAATTTAATTTCTTCTCCAGATAGCCAAGTTCCTTCAGTGTCACTGATAACAGGCTGCAGTGTCCATCAGTAAAATGTATTATTGTCCTTTTCAGTAGTAGTTTTGAAAGTCAATTCATCTTTTTTTCAGGAGTTCAGGACAGGATATGTGTGAAATCTTGTCAGAGAACAGCAATATCAGTAGCATGAGTGTGCCCTGTCCTAGACAATTGGTGTACATTTTAAATGTATTTTAAAGGGAAATTGTGTGGATTAGTCTTTTTTAGTTTGTTTGATTTGGAAGAAGTCACTTAAACATTTTGCTGTTGAAAGAAGCAATTTAAACTGTTTGCTGAGTAAGCTGAAATAACACTACATGCCTCTTACATATTGTTTTCAATTTTCTTCTTCCACTATGCTGCCTGTAATTGTCGTAAGTTATTTTTTTCTTACTCTTTTACTTCTTTCACCAAAGCCTACAAATACTATTCACTGAACTCATGGTGACATCTTTTCTGCAGGTTTCTGGGGATGACCCATATTTATGTGCCTCTTTCGTGGGGCTGAAACCTTCCACTAACAGAAACCACCTTGTTCGAGCTATATTGGAATCTGTAGCTTTCAGGTACTGCTTGCTAAATTATCTGGCTTCTGTTTTCTTATCTTTGCTTTTATTTAGATCAGCAGTGTTAAATGGATACATGGACTTTTGCAGTTTATACAATACACTACTGTTACACTGGAAAGGAGTTTTAGCTGCTTCCTTTTTTTAAACAATTTACAAATAAATTTCTGTATATTTGTTAGTTCAGAGTTTCTGTCATTAAGTAACCATATAGAGATTCTTAAATAATGTTGTTTTCTGCATGTTTTGAAAGTGTTTTCTGTTTAAAGTTTGTCCTTCCTCACCTGACAGTGTTTTGCCAGAAACTGTAGCCCTCTCCAGCTGTGTTTAAAGTATCCTTGAAGCTGAAAGTTTTATATCAGCTTTTGTTTAAAGTTTGAAATTTTGGTGTTTTATAAAACAAAGCAACAGGCCTCTTTAAAATTTTAAAAGATGTGAATGGACAGCAGCTTCCAGATCTGTGAAAGCTAAAGATGTCCCTGCTGATAGCACATCAGGATGTCACTGCTTTGCCATCCCCCTAAATGCCTCAAACTGGAGCTTGGATTGAGCCTGGCTCACACTGTGCTGTGGCCAGTTAGGGAGCACTGATGGGATTCCTTCCATGTAGTCAACAGCTTTGCTTTTGATGCCTTAGAGGCATCACTTTGGGCATAAAAATCTCCTGCAAAGAGCTCAGAAAAGATGTCTGGAGCAGGGCAGTATTCTGAATTGCTGCAGCTGGTTTCTAATGGATTTTCCTTCTGCCACTGTAAGCCTGAACATGAGATGCAGTAATTTTTGACATATGGGTGTCTTGAAAAGGATCTTAAGGGATGTTAAGAATTCATCTATCTCATTCAAATACTGCATACAAATAACTAGAAAAAAGGTAGAGATCCTTTGTGGTTAGATTTTCTCCCATTAAATGAAATGGTTTCTGGAAAAAGTCAAACTTGGAGGCTTTAGATACTCCCCTTAGAGAATAGCTGGATAAACTCCAGTTAGCACTGTTGGCCTTCTTTCCTCACTATAAGCCTCTTGTTACATCAACAATTGCATCTCTAGAAACCTATCAGTAACTTTCAGTGGGAAAAATGAACCTTCTACAGTGACTTGCTATAGAATGGGCCATGATTTAGCCATACTTTGCCTTTGTAACAGTGACAAAGACCAAACATCAGTTTCAGTGGGTTTGGGTTTTTCATTTATGCATTCTAGAAATTTTCAGGTATTGCAGCAGTTCTAACAGAACTGAGGCCTTTCTTGCATTTATTTTCTGACTCTGTAGATACTGAAAACAGAACTGAGGCCTTTCTTGCATTTATTTTCTGACTCTGTAGATACTGAAAACACTTTATGGAATATATAATGCTTAATTCAATGAAATATTTTTTTAAAGGAACAAACTGCTTTATGATATCATTGTGAAGAAGGTGCACATTCCTCTTCGAACTATTCGGTAAGTTCCCCGGAACTTTTAAATTCAATATATGAGAGTTTGATTTTAAACAAGTTTGAGCTTTATTATGCATTTTCTCTTACTGTAAAAATTCTGCTGTTCAGAAGTAGATGGATTTCCAAGTCAAATATTAATGTAACTTAAGCAGCAGTAGAGTCTACCCACAGCTATTGGCATTGGTGATAGTTAGTGGGGGAGTAATTAATTGCTCTAATTATTAAAACAAAAATTTAAAAGAAGTCATATCCATGTTTTCAGGTAGCACTAGAGTGCATATAGCAATGCCTACCACAAAGGTGTTTCTACCCTTTGTCATCATTCTTTCATATTGACATTTTCTCTGCTGGGTCTTTCACAGACAATTTTTGAAGACTTTGGTTAAAACTGGTTCTATTTGTGAGGGAAAGAGAGAGATTAGTTTTAGACATCAGTTTTGCTTTAATCTTTGAAGAACTATATCAAATTTAGTGAGGCAACTGTAATCCCTAGAAAATGCTTGCACATTTAGCTGAATTAAACATTGCTGGAAGACCACATTTCACATTTGGGTAGGGACCTTCTCTGAGCACACTAATTGTCAGAAGCTCCAGCCCTCTGAGGCTCAGAAAGCTCTGCAACAAAATTTCTCCCTCGGGCAGCCAGGGGTCAGCATGGTACTGCAGTCAGGAGCAGAGGTGAGCGTTCCCATGCCTCCTGTGCCTCTGCAAAGGAAGAACAGACTGGCAGGCAGGTCAGAATCAGGCTCTCAGTGGGAAAAAAGCAAGAACACAGAAGTGGGAGGAGGTAACAGTTTCTGCTTTCCATCACATACTGGGAGAGAGAAGGCAAAGGTGAAAAAACAGCCAGGGTTAGGGGTTTAATGAAAAGATGAAAAGTACCAGAACTTTGATTACTTAGGAAGCTTTTTAACATAGAAAATTGCATCAAAAATTTGATAAGTCACATTAAAAGTGCAAACTCAAAAAACTCTTAAAATATGGGAAGTATGGAAATACAGCCTAGGGATCATTAGAATTCTGATTCCATTTACCTTGCATATAAACCTTAAATTGTATGATCATGTTATTTTTTGTTCATGGATATAAAATTGCAGTTTTATATAGTGTCTGTATTACTTAACTAAAAGCAGTAACAATTCAGCTTGTGGATTAAATATTAAAACATAATGAGCCACACTCATTATGTGTGTGGGGTTCTCAGTAGGGTTGCAAACTGCTCTACCATCCTTATGTCCACATATCTTTTGCATCTATCAATTACCTTTGATTTTTTGTTGTTGTTTTTATCCCATAAACCTATTAATTTCTTTTTTGGCTGTTTTCCTGTATTCCTTGTTCCTTCCTGATTTCTGGGCATTGTTTTCATTAGTCCTCACCAGGTTCCTGTTCCTTCTCTTTGCTTGTCTCAATGCCATCAAGGAAAGCACAGAGAAAGAGCCCTCAGCTTTAATCCACATGTCCTATAACTAAAGAGTTTTATTGCCTAGCACTTTCTACAGCAATAAACACTAGAGGTCTTCTCTGCACCACATTTGATAGAACACCACCTCCATACATGGCTTCTATTGAAGTACAAGAGCATAATGAACCTACCTAGGACATTTCAAAGATTGCTTTTTGTTATTTTGTTTGCAAGAGTAATTACTTCAAAATCTCAGATGATTTAAGATCAGCACTGATAAGTTCTCGTTTTCCCCATTAAATTGGTCTCAAAGTAGGAAAATAGATGGAAGCTTCATTCTGAACTTCCTCTTAAAAAGAAGTAACTGTGAAGTCATTTTAGGCTAACTAATACAAAGATTTGGTATTGAGGAGAACTGTACTTTTCCAGATCTGAGAACACATGAAAGTTTTGTTTGGTGTAATGGTTGTGATAGTGTGGTGGTAACTATGTAAAGATTCTGTTATAAACCCTTCTGATTCTGCCAAGATGATGCAAAGTTTTAAAACACAGAATTTTCAGAGCTTTTGATAGAGTTCTGTGTCCCTGTTTGCCTACCATTCCTCTCCAAGTTTATAAACTTTTTTTTCTTCTATGTTTTTTTTTGGCACCTTGTTCTGTCCTCTAAATTTACCCATAAAGTGGAAATGCATTTGTGTATGAGTGACAGGAAGATTTATGCATAAGTGTGAAATACCAAACGTTGTTTTCTGAAATGCTGGCAATAAGCACTTAACACATTTTTTTAACTACTTCTTCCCTTCTTCCTATAGAGCTGATGGAGGTGTCAGTAATAATAGTTTTGTCATGCAGATGACATCAGATTTAATTAATAAAAAAATAGAAAAACCTGCGAACACGGAAATGTCTAGTCTTGGTGCAGCTTTTCTAGCAGGCCTTGCTTCAGGTATGTAGACATTAAAAAGGCTTTTTTCCCCTTTATAATGCATGTTGTAAATACAGTAGAAAAGAGATCAGACAAAAAGGGCATAAATTCAAGTAATTGTAAGCCCCCCCAGAGGATTACTTTAGCCCTTTTTGTGGGAATCGAAGGTAAATCGTGTTTACTGTACAGTTTCTCTGTACAGTACCATTAGAAGGATGTATTGCTAGAGAAGAAAGGTGAACCCTGTCTTGGCTGCCTCCTCTTCCTTGACTCAGACATTCCATTACCATTCCCATACTGGTGCTGCCTGAGTGCTGCTGGCTGGGGAAGGACCCTGTGGCCAGGGAGCCACCGTGCTCACCTGCAGCTCTGTCACTCTCTGTGAACACTGCCTTTATCCTCTGAGGCTTTCACAGGAATGGAAGTACAAAATTAATTATGAACAGGAAAAACAGCTCTACTCACACAGAATTGTTTCATATTGTTAACCAGACCAAAAGCTACAAACTGTTGACGGTTTTGCTTAATATGCACCTACAAAACATGTTTTTGTTGAAGTGCTTTGATATGTAAATAACACACATGAAGGTAAAAACTATATGCTTGGGTAAGATTCATTCAGCAATTAAAAGTTCAAGAAAGTTGAGACCCTTGATAAACAAGAACAATTTAATAACATAAACTGATAGGAACCTGTAACACCAGCTGTTTCTTGCTATTGATACAGTTTTAAGACAGTAGGAAAGCAGCTAAGTCTTTGTTTCTGTGGCCCTTCTTCATTGAGAAGGACCTGCAACCAAAAGCACTTTGTGGATGAAACCTAAGGGAATTTCAGTGTACCAGAGCTGTTCTTTGGAAACCATCCCAGTTAAGCAGATGCGCTGTTGTCAGGATTCCAAACAAGTGGATCCTACTGGAAAGGATTTTCACATTATTAAAAATATGCTTCCCTCTGAGAAAGTTTCTGGTAGAGTAAAAAGAAAAGTTGTCATTATTTCTTACTGTGTTTCTGCTTTGGATCTCTTAGAAATACATTAAAACAACTCAAAAATAACATATTTGCAGTTGAGCTGGAGAATGAATTTTCTGTTTATAGGATTTTGGACAGACAAAAAACAACTAAAGAAGCTAAGGCAAATAGAAGCAATGTTTGAGCCCCAAAAGGATTCAGAGGAATACAGACCTGCTATGGATGCATGGCTGCAAGCAATGAAACACTCACCACACCGGTAGAAATTTGTGTTTTAAATTTAGAAGAATTAAGACGATTTAATTCGTGTTTTATAACATCTTGACATTAACAGGACAGTAAAAAGCCATAACTGAAATTTGTGATGGTGTATTATAAGTCATGTGGTATTTCAGTTCCCCCCCTGCTGCTGGATTATTTACCATACTGTAATGAACCTTCCCATCATCCCTGTGGCAGCTGTGGTCCAGCTGCAGCATTTGTGTCCCTTCAGTGACCTCCTTTGGGTGGCCCAGCTGCTCCAATCCTCCCATGGGCTGTTCTAACTGGGATGGGTTTTTCACTGAGCAGCTCACCTCCCTTTAGATCTTGAAAATCTTGCCTGTGTTCATCATCCAGGAAGGGTAAAAGGCACATTGACTCCCCTAGGCATTGCTAAGAAACAAAATGATTGTTGGGGCTGGGTTGTGAGGAATTCAATTGTGTGCAAAGACATTATTTTGGTAGTAGCCTGTTACCACCTTTTGGTTGACACTAGGTGCTGTGATCACATTATTTGTGCACTAGATCAAGATGAAATACAAAAGCAAATAGGCTTTTAACACTCCATTAAAAAAATCCAGGATTTTTGTAGCTGATACTTTGTAGCTAGCTTGTAGCTCAATTTTTAAAAATTTTATAAAGACTGAAAGCAATCTTATCTGGAGTGGCCAGCACAGATACATTAAAACTAGTTCCAGGTATGCTATCTAACTTGTAAATATCTGTACTGTTAGTATCTTCAAGGCCATTTTTAAATCCTATTATTAATAGCTAAAAGGGAGTAAAAAGTCTATTTTTGAAGCTATAAATTACTTTTGTATTTTTTAAACAAATAAAATATAATTAAAGAAATGTGTAGTTAATTATTCTTATATAATTGTTTATTTCTAATATTAAATTATTGTAATTTTCTCAGGATTATGTGTAAATCAGCTTCCAAAATGCAAAATGATTAAACATTTTAATTTCAGAATAATACCAAGTTCAAGCTGTGGGCGATTTGTATTCCATAGATGCTGGAGATAAGAAATGTTTACAGATTTAACATTTGAAAGAGGGCTGAAGAACTGTAATTCATTTTCTTGTGCTGATACACAGAAGGTCAAATCAGACACCATTTTCTTAGTTTCCTTCAGTCATGCACCCTGAGTTGGAGCATCTCTTCTAGCTGTGTTCAGCCTCCATCTCATTTACTTGTCAGCCTTAGCTTAACGTGCCATTTTTCTTGTTCTTCTGTTACGTTCTGCCCTTCAACCTGTGCTCATCTTGGCAATTTTCTTTTCTCTGGTATCTTTCCAATTCTCCTTAACCTTCTTTAATGTGAATCCTTAAATGAAGCACAGAAGCAAGTGTGTCTGCTGATTTCTAGTAATATGCCAGGCTGTAGTGCCAAGACTCCAATATTAAGTCCCTCAAAGAGTTCCCTCCACTCCTCCTCCTGCTGTAAGGTAAGATTCTGCAGTTACAGGATATGTGAAACAATTGCTTTGCTTTAACACCTGTGTATGCAGCTTGGGATTTTCCTCTGCCATCACAAAGTCACTGCTAAAGAAAATTCTCATTAGCAAGGAGGTTCTCTCTTCAAGGCCAAGCAGAAAGGCTTTAAGTCTGGCACTCTGGGCAGAAGTTTGTGCCTCAGTCACTGGTATTCTACATTTTGTTCTTACTTCTCAGGGAGTTTAGTTTCATCATCTGCCTTTCATCACCTGTTGCCCTTTTGTGGAAGGCTCCTTGACTTAGGTTCTCTTGATAGCCTGGAGGTTTAGCTGGGCTGAGCAGGCAGTGTTGCAGTGCTCCCAGACAGAGCTCTGACAGGAGCTGAACCTGATTCTGTTCAGATCACTCTGCTGGAGGCAACTCTGCACCATGTGCCTGATCCTTCACCTTCATGTGGTGGTGGTGTTCACCCTGGACATGGCACAGCTAGAGAGAGAAGATACCCAACACATTATATATCCCTCTTGCTCCAGGTGGTATCCTAGAGGACACACTCTGGATAACCATTTTACCACTGTCACTGTTCAATTAGAAGCAGAAATTTAAGCTGCTTTCCTTTCACTAGCCTCAAATCTACAGGAGAGAAACTTCACTACAAATTCAGGATGTGGAAAGGCCTTCATGTATTTACCAGCTGAACCTTTCAAATGGCCTGCAGAGTTGTGAGTTCAGTTGGGGAGAGGTTCAAAGTAGGGAGTAAAGCTCTGAAACAGAGGAGTGTCTCAAAGTCTCCTAGGATGGACCAGCCTTTGGAGATCATAGCATTTGCCACAGCTTATGACATGAAGTTATCCAAAGACTGAGCAGACAATCTGACATTTTGAAGAAATTAGATTACTGATCAAAGTCTTTTGCTTATCTTTTACAAGAAAAATTGATTTATCTTCCCAGGAAGTCCTTAATGTGATGTTATCTAAAAGTGGTACCTGTTAATTGATAATGGATTTGTAATAAGCTTTAGATATATTTTTACAGGTGCTGTGCTGTCCCAATTTTTGCTGCACAGAAGGGGATTAAAGCCATTTTAGAACCTCACTCATACTAACTTTTATTAAAAATATGACAGCTTTTACTGCTGTCTTTTTGCTTGTATTTAATTTTTTTGTCTGAAGGTTGTTCTCATCAGTTTGGAAAGTATATGCAATTTTACATTTTCTATCAGCTGAGTTTGATAGTAAAGGTAACAATACAAAATTACAAATATTAACTAGTTTGCAGTTTCATCATTTTAAGATATTCAGTTGAGATGTAATGTTGTACTTGGGATTGGACAGCAGTGCAGCTCATTGGCATGTGAAGATTGGCAGTTGAGATGTGTTAATGATCTCTGGGCATGCTGCCTTCACAGATCCCCCCGTGCTGATAGTAGATAACGTCATATCAGTTTGGCAGTTGGATCATTCATAACATATAGTCCTGTAAATACGTGGGGACTGTGTGGCATGAAAAGTGATGCCTCATAATAATCCCTCTATTGTTGGAGGAATCTTGCTACTATTAGATTAATTGTTGTATATCAAGAGAAAGGGCAGAGGAAAAAGTCTTCAGATAGTTGAAATTACTGAGCAGCTGTATGAATTTTGCTACACAGCTAAAAAAAATATCAAGTCAGCTGTGTTTAAAAGCTTGCTGTAATAAACTTGACCAAAATTTTTGAGTGCTGTTTTCTTTTAAGCAGTATTTTCTGCTCTACTCTAACAGCTAATTTTACATAAAATTAATTCAGTTGCTCTCATTTGTTTTTAACAAGAGCATTTAGACTTGCTTTCCTGTCAGGAGAAAGTAAAAAAAAGCAAAATACTGAGTTGCTGAAAGCCTGCTACCTTCTACTGGCATAATCTCTGTAGCAAGATCCTTCAACTAGTCCCACTATTTGCACAGCACAGGAGGCTCACCAGTGGAATAGAGAGAGGGGTAAGAACCATTTCCTGCCAGTTGGTGGGGTTGTTTCTGGTCTGAGCTGAAGAGTACAAAGGTGTGAGCCCCTCTTGAAACAAAGAGGTGTGACAGTCCTGCAGGTGAGTGGGTGCTCTGACCCAGAAGTTGGTTGGGCAGTGTGTTAGTTTAAGGCTTCAAGGGGAGTCAGGTTGAGCAGGAGAAAAGGGGTGGTGGTGGAGGGGGAGCCTGTTTTGGGTCAATGCTTGTGCAGGTTATCACAGCAACCTGTGGGCTGGCAGGGAAGCAGTAAAACTAGCAAATACTGAAAAGTGATGTTCTGTGAAAGGGAAAAGAGCTGGCATCTAGGAGGGATCTGACTGGCCAGGGGGAGCAAGGTGGTGTTCTAGGGCTGGGACACCTGATGGGTTCTGGAGGGACACACGAGAGCTTCCTGCAGGGCATGTGTAGCTGCTCAACCCACACCTTAGTGTGTCTAAAAATCCCAATTCTAAGGGATTTTCTTCAATGCAGCCTTCATTCTGGGGTAAAATTTGGGATGTGTGAAAGTTCTGAAGACTGTATTGGTTTAGAATGTTACATAGGTAGCATACTTACAACTCATGCAAGCTGCTCATTGTTTCACCACCTTCAAACTCAACTGTGTGTGTGAATACATATGTATAGATGTGTGTAAATAGAGTTAGTCTGCAATTTGCTGTTGAAAGCAAATGCAAACTACAGCAGTGACCTTCCTTCTGTTTCTCCCTTTGGGGGTTCAAATTGCTATTTTTCATGTTCATAATCAGCTCCAGTATCCGACTTCAGCTCATCAGTGTTTCTGGCAAAGGAGTAAATAAACCAGTGAACCAAAAAGAGATCTATGAAGGCCAAGTGTCTTTATTGAGGCTGGGTTCAAGTATTTGTTTAGCTGTGGTAACTAATAATAGTGCACTAAACCAGCCAACCTGGTTGCTTCTGGTTTGCTTCCTTTTGAAGGTAGTGTGTGCCTTCTGCACTTCTGGCAGGGCGTGTGTCATATTAGTGGTTGTGGCTGTACCTGTTAGAGGGGCTCCAAGAGAATACACAATAGTTTGCATATTTCTGTTGCTTTTGTGAATGTATCTTGCGTAACACTGCCAATATCGATAAAAGGTCTTGTTACATGACGTGGAAGTGTTTTATAGAAGATGAAAAGAAACTAAAACCACAATCTGCAAATTCCTAGACACATGCAAGATTTTCAATTGTAAACTGCCCCATTGCAATAAATATAAAGGTCTTGTTTGCTAATATTGCTAATATTCCTTTGACTGACACTTAGGAACTCGATTTTATAGGCTGAACACCTGTTTTTTTGATGTTCCTTTTTTTAGTGAAGGGGACAGGATCAAAAACATGTCTTTCTAGAGCATTTAATGTTGTCTGTAATACAAGAAAAACAGAAGTTTATTGTGTTTGATCTAGTATATATGTGATCTGCAGGGATTTAAAGCACATAAATAGTGTTTGTGTCCCCATAAACCTTTTGCTCAGTGGCGTTAAGCTGCGTTTGTGTTAGAGAAATATGCAAAGTGGGTAACTACACTCCTTGGATGTGTGCCTGGCTGCACTCGAGAAGATTTAACAAATGTTGCATCGTTGCGTTGAATGGAACTAGTGCCGAATTTATTTTTTTGCTCCCAGAAGTGCTTTCTATTTATATGGTCTCTGTAAGAATACGTAACCCTGCTTCGTTGAAACAGTTTTTTTAAAGCGGTAAGAAAACGTTGAAATCAAACATTTGTTAAGGCTTTTCCAAGGAGCCGAGGAAGGCCTGGGTTTCTGCGGCTGCGGCTCCCAGCTCTGGCAGGGCGGAGGGTGCGAGGGCGCGGTCGCTGCTCCCCGGCCCCGCCGCGCTTTGTTGGCCCGGGCGCCTTTGTTCGCAGGGGGAGCGCAGCAGGAGCCGGGCCCGGGGCACGGGCGGCCCTGCCCTCGCTCTGCCGCCGGCTCCCGCGCCGGGGCCGGACGTTCCTGCAGCGCCCGCGGCGCCGAGCCCGCGGCGGGGCTGAACTTTGCATCCCGGGACCAGCCCCAGCAGCTCCTCGCAGATAAGCGGCACGGCCAGCGGCCGCAGCCAGCGCGGCGCCGCGCGCTGTGTGTAAATACAGCCCGTATATATTTCTGCATTTGTGTGTTTGTACACTGCGCACCGCCCGCAGCACCTGGGCGCCGCCGGGACAGGTGCGGCCGCCTGGAGCCCTCGCGGGGATCGAACCCTCGCCCTGACAGCGGCCGGCGCGCGCCGCCAGGGAGAGGCGGCGGCCGCGGGTCCGGGCCGGCCACGCCCTTCCGCCCCGCCCCCCCGGCCCCGGCCCGGCGGATTGGCGATCGGTGTGTGTACACACACGGGTCCGGGCCAATGGCGCGGGGAGGGCGCCTGACGTCACGCGTCGCGGCAGCCAATGGGCGCTCCCGGCCGGCAGACGCCGCCAAGCTTGTGCGGGGGAGCAGGACCGGGTAGCGCTGGGCGCGGGGCGGGCGCGGGGGGGCGGCGGGGCCGGGCCGGGGGCGCTGCGGGCGCTGCTGCCGCCACGCACCGGGGGCCGCCGGGGGGTCCCGGCTCCGCGGCCTCCTCGCCAGCGGCGAGTGCGCGGCGCCGGCCCGGCCGAGAGGCGTCGTCGGCGCGACTGGATCGCTCCTTGCCGCGGCGGCTGCCAAGGGACCGTCGCCGTCTCGTCGCCTCAGTGTCGCTGTCTGGGCCCAGCCCGCGTTGCCGCCCGCCTTACCTTCCGTCCCTGGCCGGGCCTGCGGGTGAGCTGGGAGCGGGGGGCGGGTGTGGGGGGCCGTGAGGGGGAAGGGCAGCGCCTTTCTTCGGCGATCAGCGGCCGCCGCCCCCCCGTGCCCCGGGCGGCGCGGTCCCGCCGGCCCTGCCGCCCCCTCCCCGGTGCCGCCGGGCAGCGCGGGCTCGCCCCATCTCGTGCCCCCGGTGCCTCAGGCCGGGCGGACCCGGGAGGCCGGGAGCCGGTGCCCGACACCTGCGGGCGGGCCCGGGCGGCGGTGACAGCCGGGGCGCCTCCTCCATTGTGGGGCTGGGCCGCGCCGGGCTGTGCGGGCTGCGGAGCGAGCGGCGGCCCGGCCGCGGCCCCGCTCGGGAAGGCACCGGCCGAGAGCCCGGCCCTGCTCGCCGGTGCCTGAAGTTCGTGTCGGGGCGGTTCTCACCCGCCGCTCTTATCGGGACAGGGTCAGTCCGGCACAACAACAACAAAACTTCCCTGCCTGCCTCTTCCTGGGAGTTACAGGCCTGCCCGGGCTTCCAGCTGTAAAGGGCTCAGCGGCAGAGGTGAACCCAGTGTAAACACCGTCTGCTGGAGCTCAGAATACAAACAATGGGAGGAAAATACGGAATAAGCAAACTTCCTTGAAATGTGGAAGAAAACCGCAAATGAGACCGTGCTCCCTCATTGAGTAAAGGGGGGATGCCGAGCTGTGTATCACAGCTTGTGCTGCTCTCCTCTGGAGAAAGGACTTTGGGTTTCATTTTCTCTGTAAATTCTTGATTTGACAGAGAAAATGAATAGTTTTAATTGATACGATATAATATGCCAGGTAAACATTTTTTACAAATTATTTCTTGGTCAGTTTTCGTAATTCTGAAAGCAATTCAATTCTTTTTTTGACTCTTCATTAATATGGCTCACAGTGACTTTGTTTTCAACTACTATCACTGATGTAGCTTAATTATGTTGACAAAAGGCAGTAAAACGTTGGAGGTTGTGTAGTGCTGTAACAAATTGCAACTTGATACAATCTTTGATTCAGAAATAATGTTATGCTGGTCAAAATGGATGCTGTTAAAAAGAAATTAATAGATTTTCTCTATTCCTTTACCCTTTCCAAATTAACCTCAGTTCTTTTGATTATATTATATCCTATCATACACAAAACCAGATCTGTGTAAGTGTGGCAAGGACTGAGAGGACCAGTGTTACAGGGCAAATGCAGACCTGTGTTTCACAGCCCCTATTTATGCCACATTGAAGTATTTTACACATTGAAGTATTGATTTTCAGGAACTTCTGTTCAAACTAACGTGGAGGGTGTTAAATATAGCGCTTTGAAAAAAACATGGAGGACTAAGGAGAAGTTTGTGTTATAGAAAAGAAAAGACTTGGCAGGAGAGGTGGTCAGGAGGGAAAAAAAGTCAACTTTTCTTTTGAAAAGTTTCTTACTGTAAAGTGAGTCTAGTGCCTCTAGAAGAGGACAGAGTAACAGGTCAAATGATTTAGTTCTATACTAGAAGAAAAAAGAAAATTATTAAATATTAATAAGATTGTCTCATGGGTGAATTTAAGAGTGATCTTATATTACTGTCAAATTATTTGGCTTTCTTTTAACCACTTCCTCTTTGCATAGCAAAAAGAAACCATTTGACTTGTACTATCTTAATAGAATTAATTTTACAGCAAACACACCAGTGAGAGGAATGCTCTTAATTGCTGCAGAGGGTTCTGCCTGGTGGCCTCACTTCACAAAGTGGGAAGGTGCAGTTTTCAGAAGAGCATCTTGGCAGCAGCTCTCCAGTGTAAAAGGCACAGGCCAAGCGCCCAGCTGGGCAGCAGCAGTGCTGTTCTGCAGGGGATGTCAGTAGGACAGGAGATTCCTTATCTCTGGCTGCTCTTGGCTATGTTGATGGCACTGTAGAGACCTCTGGTGCATCTGGCCACACTTCCTGAGCAGTTGTCAGCACCCTCCCACTGAAGATCTTTCAGTAGCTTTGGCTAAAATTGTTAAAGGTTTAGTGAAGAAACAGGGACAAAATTCCAGCACTACATCCTCTTCAGGGGTGTATGATGTTAGTTTAGATGTGCAGACCCTGTCACTGTGCCTGTGAAAGCTGAATGTCAATCTCTAAATGCAATATAGAGTAATGACTTGCATGGTATGAAGGGAAGCTCCTGTAGCCCATCCTGTGTAGAGAGAAATATTTAAATTTCTGTATCCTAATGTGGAGCAGAATGAATTCTAGTCATAGCCAGTCTAATTCAGTTCTTGGAATTGCATTTCTTCTGGTGTGCTACCTTAATATAATGTTCTTAGGGCTGTCTCTAATAAGTGATAATTTCTTAAATTGTTTGCTTTTTCATGTTTTGAGTGTAATGATGTAAGACTTTCTCTACTACTTTTCCAATTACATTCACTGTACATGACTCTTGATGAACCAACAGTGAATCTTAAAACAGGGGAAAATCAGCTGTCTGTTCTGCTCCTAGGAAATACACTTGTGGATTTTTTTGTGCATAAAGCCAAGAAACCACTGGAATCAGATGGGTTTGTCACAAAACTTTAGGTATTAGGTGACGAACAGCCCCAATGTCTTGGTGTGGTAATAGGGCACATAACATGGTGGAGCTGAGGGCACAAATGTCTGTGGTGGGATCTGAGAAACCAGGGGTATGCAAGGAAATATTGTAAAAAGGTGCAGGTGTGCTAGGGAGTGAGAGTTTTGTATCAACTTCCTGGATTGATTCTTTATGTTTATTTTGTAACATCCAGTATCAGAATGAAATGAATTCTTTTTCCCCCCATTATTTGATTTGTAGACCATGATTCTTCTGCAAGGATCTTAAGCAGTAGTTAGTGATCTTATTTTCATAGTTTCATTAAAGGAACTCCTTTGCTCCTTGATCTGATGTCCTGTGTGATAGTTTCCAATAAAGGGCTTTACAGACTGCTCAAATTTACTTTTATGCTTTTCAGTATTTATAGCATAAAAATCAATCTAAGGAAAACTGCAGGCCTACAATAGTTCAGTTTGTAAGACCACTATAATAGACCTGTAACAAAAGCACAGTTTTGTAGAATATCCTACTTCTGGTGAAATACAGAACAGTAATTGAATTAAAAAGATGATGTTTGAAAATAATTCAAGGTCTAGCTATTCATTTAGTACTGTTGAAGAAACTCTTTGCCTTTCAGAACACAGTTTGCAAAATCCACAGCCTCCTGTGAAGCCATTTGTGAGGATATTTGTACTTACTGAAACCTAAAGTAACTCCTGGATTTTTGTAGCACATGAAAAATATTGCTTTAGCCAGCTCACATCCAGTATTGGCTGTCACTATGGAGCCTGAAACCAAGCTGGGAAAAGATGAGTGTTTGGTTTTGTTAGTGTGCTTGGTTGTGAACTGCAGCAATTTAGGTGTTGGCACAGTTTCATTCTTTCTGACTTGATAATGTTTAAAAGAGGAGACAACTTGATTTTTGGTAACTTCCCAAATCATTTAAGCATGAATTCTAGAAGGGTTTTCTTTAGAGGTATCTTTGAAGGCATTATCCAGAATTGGCACAGCGCTGGGATCTTCCTGGTTTACAGTCCATAGGATATTTGACTGACATGAACAGCCAGGTTTTAACATGACCTGTAGAAATCATCCACTGTATAAAGGTGATGTTGTCTTCACTGCTTTTGTGTTATTTCAGTCAGTGGATGTGCCCTGACCACCAGGTTTTACACAAACACGGTCAGAGGAAGCAGTGATGGTCACTGAGACTGCCCCTGTTCCTCTTTGCTAGCAGTGAATGCAGTGCCCATGTCCAAACCATGGGATTTTTGTTAACATCTGGAGACCAAACTCCATTTGGGAATGTAATTCTGGTCTTGCAGCTCAATTTATTTTTTCCTGTGGAGCTTAGAGTATGCTCCTGTGTTTGGCAAGGCAGGTTTCTCCTGTTCCATCAGGTTCCTGCTGCTGCTAGGTTTGTGTTGGTTTGGGTGGGAATAGCAGATGATTCAGTTGTGGCTTACAACCTCTTTAGTACTTTTGTTCAGTGGAGTCCCTCACTGACCTCTCTTGCATGATTATAACATCTGGCTGGGTGTATGGGAAGGTTAATTTGATAGGAATTCATAATCCATTTGCCCATGGGTGGTGTACACAAATATGTTCTGTGTGAATAAGGGACCATTTTAATTCACTGTTTTCTCATTGCAAATTTCAGGGTGGGAAAAAAGAAAAACAAGGTCAGAAAGAAATTAGCAACAGGTACCCACTGTCCTTAAGGCTGTGAACTTTTAGTTGTATAGAGGAATTCTTCGACTTGGTAGCAGCTATTATAATGCTATTTGTGGGAATTAAAGCAAATATATCAGTAGCTACTCATTAAGGCTTGTTAATGCCAATGCATTGACATACTGAAAGTCACTTGGGAACTGTAATGGTCATCCAAGAATATATGGTGGTAACATGACCAGTAATTATGGATGAGATTAGAAACTGCAGGTGAAAGTGAGCTTATGTCCTCAGAGTGAAATAAGAAACCATGTGTACATGGGCTCTCCATTCCTTGGGAGGAAGGAGTTAGGTAACTCTCTTTTGTTATAAACTTGACCTTGAGATTTGAGGAATGTGAGAAATATATTTCTGTTCTCTTAAAGGAGCAATCAGGTTATTGTAAACTTCAGTTTATTTAAAATTCAACTTGCAATTGCAAATACATTCAAACATTTTTTTAGATCAGTAACTTCATACATACAACTGATACAATTTCAAGCTGTGTATTGATTTGGTATAACAGCAGACTTCTGCTCTCTGTCAAAAGCAAATTATTAATCCTGCTTCTTGCTGGATAAGAAATTGAGGAAGCTGTGATCTGGAGAAAAAATATCCCCCTTCCTAATGGATTTTTGAAGCATGCACACACCCCAGTAAATTCTTCAAAAGCATACAGTAGTCTTCATATGGACAAGCCCAATGCAACCTTTTGTCACATTTCAATCCATAAGTAAATTCTGAGGGATCATGAATGCTTTT